GACTGAAACCTCCAGGCTGTGAGCCAGAATCAGCCTTTTCCCTTCGTAAGTTGGTTATCTCAGGTATTGTTATAGTAATGGAAAGATGGATGGCACAAGTACATGCTTAATGTGCCAGGTGCTTTTGTTTGTTCTTGGCTTTAGTTTTTGACAGATTCTTGTAGCCCAGGCTGGTCTCAAAACACACAGTCTTTGTGCCTCAGCCTCTGGAGTACTGGGATTATAGACATGCACTACCACACTGGGCTGTAGATAACTTCATTGTCCTTATTTGGCAGAGAGGATATTCATGGGCCATGTAATTGGCAGAAATGTGTCTCAAGCTTAAATTGATCAACTTTACAAGTCTATTCTGACTCGCAGTTTTGGGGGTTTCAAAATCATCATTGATAATAGTGACAAGACCTAAGAAATGCCCGTGAATAAACCCACGTGCAAGCCCTTTGTAGAAAAGTCATAAAGTTTTTCTCAGAACATCAAAAAAGACTAAATAAAGAAGTATACTATGTTCATGAACAGGGAAACCTAATACCGTAAAATTGTATTTCTCCTGACTCCATAATTTCAATCCAGCAAATCTTATGATTAGCTTGTAGAATTTCCTCCTTCATAGTAAAGAAGAAATACCTGTGACTCACACCTGTAATCCTAGCTACATGGGAAGCTGGGGTTGAGAGGATCACAGTTTGAAGCTAGTCTGAGCAAATAGTTTTTGAGAACCCCATCTCCAAAACAGCCAGAGCAAAATGAACCAGAGGTGTGGCTCAAGCAGTAGAATGTCTGCTTTGCAACTGTGAAGACCTGAGTTCAAATCCCAGTCCCACCAAAAAAAAAAAAGAAAAGAGACTATTTGAAAAAGAGGGGAACACATTCAGATTGTAAGACACATTGTAAATCTGTAGTAATTTTTAACAGTGAAATTTGTATTAAAATGGACATTTAGGTCAATAAAACAGAATATGGCCCATGTATATATGGAGATGTGTTATATGATATAGCATTTCAAAACTAGGTTAAGAATGAATTATTCAAGAAATGGTTTGAAAAATAGGCAGTTGGGCAATGATTCAATATCTATATTTAAAAAATAAACTTTCTATTTCATTCCATATATACCAACACATTCCAGATGGATTTAAAACCAGTGCACAAACAAAGCTTAAACATATTTGAAAATATATTTTGAAAAATGTCTTGATGACTCTCTTAGTCAAGATTCTTAGTCCTAGCAGAACCAACAAAAACAAATAAACAGTTGTTAACGCTGGGGAAAAAAGAAATTAATTTTTTCACAGGAGATAATATCAAGTGAATAGAATAGGAATGGCAAGAATAAAATGTCATTTAAAAAATGTTTTTGGTGGACTATGGTTTGAACTCAGGCTTTGTGTTTGCAAATCCAGGCACTCTACCACTTGAGGCATGCCGCCGGTCCATTTTGCTCTGGTTATTTTTTTTTCATTATTTATTTTTTGCAGTACTGGGACCTACACCTTGAGCCATTCCACCAGCCTTTTTTTGTGTGATGGGTTTTTCAAGATAGGGGCTTAAGAACTATTCACCAGGGCTGGCTTCAAACTGAAATCCTCCTGATCTCTGCCTCCTGCGTAGCTGGGATTACAGGCTTGAGCCACCAGTGCCTGGCTTTCTCTGGTTATTTTTGGAGATGGGATCTTGCACACTGTTTGCCCAGACTGTCCTCGAAACTCTGTCCTCCCAATTCCAGCCTTCCAAGTATCTAGGATTACAAGCATGAGCCACTGGCACCTACCTAAGATGTCATTAAAAACAACACAAGAACTGGGAGTGTGGCTCAAGTGGTAGAGCACCTGCCTAGCAAACATGAGCTCTGAGTTCAAACCTCAGTGCTCACACACACGCACAGGACACAGGAGAAGGCGAGGTGTGTTGGTGTGCACCGGTCCTCTCAGTTCCTTGCGAGGCTAAGATCATATGATCACTTGAGTGGAAGAGTTCTAGACCAGCCCAGGCAGCATACTGAATACACTGAGACCCCAAGTAAAAAAAGTATCTGAAATGGAGCCAAAATAAAGTAAAAACGAAACAAAAAAGACCCAAAAGGCAATATCTGTCAAGAGAAATGTGATGAATTGATTGTATCTTACTTTATAACCAACTCTTAACAATCAGTAGAAATATGACTTCTTTTTCAGTGCTGGGGACGAGACCCAGGATCTCACTCATGCTAGGCAAGCACTGGGCAGTAAGCCATACCCCAGCCCCAACCCCAGCCCCAGCCCTCAGGGATATAATGTCACAACCACCTTGGAGAGTGACCTGGAAGCTTTTAGTCAAGCTGTGCCTCTCCTGTGATCTAAAAGTTCAACCTCTTAGCACCCACCTGGAGAAATACACACAACTTTTACCTTATGAGACATGTTTAAAGCTGGGGGCCTGTGGCTCACGCCTGTAATCCTAGCAACTCAGGAGGCGGAGATCAGGAGGATCATGGTTCGAAGCCAGCCTAGGCAAAATAGTTCTTGAGACCCTATCTTGAGAAAACCCATCACAAAAAAAGGGCTGGTGGAGTGGCTGAAGGTGTAGGCCCTGAGTTCAAGTCCCAGTACTGAAAAAAAATAATAATAAGGCATGTGTAAGAAAGGGTTTTGCAGCTTTGTCAGAAATTGAGAGAAAATGGAAATGACCTCAAGGTGCACAGTGGAAGAGAAAGATGAAACTGAACGCAAGTAGTTGGGAAAGGAAGGCAGTCACCTGGGGTTGGGTTCAGTGGTGAGTGCTCACCCAGCATGAGTCAGGCTCTGAGTTCATCCCTAGCCCTATGTTAAAAAAATATATTGACCGTCACCTGTTCTTGGCATCTCTCTTCATATCTTATCAGTCCTCCTGGAGATTGAACTTCACTCCCATGGTCACCTGGTCATCTGGTCACCTGCTTAACCTGAACCTCCATTACCTTTCACCTAAATGACTGCAACAGCCATTCGCCTAGACTTCCTTAAACTTTTTTTTATTCGGCAGTAGTGGGGTTTGAACTCAGGGTCTGGTGCTTGCTAGTCAGGTGCTCTACCACTTGAGCTATCTCTCCAACCCTTTTTGTTTCAGCTGTTTTTCAGAGAGGGACTCAGGCTTTTGCCAGGGGCCAGTCTCAGACCCTCCCTAAACCTCTTGCATAGCTGGGACACAGATGTATACCACCATACCTAGCTTGTGGTTTGAGATGGGGTCTCACTTTATTTTTTTTTTCCTTGTGCAGACTGGCCTCTAACTTGGATCCTCCTATTTCCACCTCCTAAATGCCTGGAATTACATGTGAGAGCCACTGGGGTTTGAACTCAGGGTCTACTCAGGACTTGAGCCCTTTTTAGTGAAGGGTTTTTTTAAGATAAGGTCTCATGGAACTATTTGCCTGAGCTGGCTTCAAACCACAATCCTCCTGATCTCTGCCTCGTGAGTTGCTAGAATTACAGGCGTAAGCCATGGGCACCTGGCCCCTTAATCCATTTTTGTTCCGTCTGTCCCTCAGCATACTTGTTGGTTTAGATATTTTTTTGGCAGTACTGGGGTTTGAACTCAGGGCCTTACACTTGCCAAGCAGGCACTCTACCCCTTGAGCCACGCTCCCAGCCCTTTCTGCTGTTTCTCGAATAGGGTCTCGTGTTTACGCTTGGGCCAGCCTGGATCTCAGTCCTCCTATTTATGTTTCCTACATATCTGGGATGATAGGTGCATGCCACCTCACACAGCTTTTATTGAAATGGGATCCCCCAAACTTTTTCCCCATGGGCAGGCCTCGAACCTCAATCCCCAAGATCTCGTTCTACTGAGTAGCCATGATTACAGGCATGAGCCACCTTGAAAATTGAGTTTTTCTTTTCTTTTCTCATCCCAGCCACAGCTGTAGTTCTTGTCTTGGCTCCTGGCTTGTCTGTAGAACGCTCAAGCAGATTTTGGGCTAATGAGGACGGGAAGGTTCCCAGTGGTAGAGTACGTGCCTAGCATGCATGAGTACAAGCCCTAGCACTGCCAAAACAAACACACAACCAACAACAAAAACCTGTCACTTTTGCTGGTCAGCAGCTGACTCAGGGCTATGGCCCAGAGGAGTCCAAAGTCCCATTCCCAGATAAGGAACTGTACACGACTCACACTGCTTTACTGAACCAGCTGAACCTGACCTGCAGACTGGGGCTGTCACCCCTCCGGAAGGAAAGACCACCCCGGTCAGGTGCAGGGCTTGTGGCAACCACCTTGTATCAAATCCCCTCACTTGTACATTAGACTGTTTCTGGAACTTTCACTGCTGTGCACAAAGGTCGTCTTTTTTTTTTCTCTTTTGAGACAGGGTCTCACTATGTAGCCCAGGCTAGCCTTGAACTCACAATCAACTTGCCTCAGCCTCCTGAGTGCTGGGATTACAGGTGTGACCACCAGGCCTGGCTACCAGGACCCTCCTTAATGTCCCTTCTCCCAAATGCACAATAGGATCAAACAACGGACAGAAACACTTGCCAACACTAAAATCCTACCCAGATATCATTCCTCCCACAATTCCTAGATATAAAGCCTCCGCCTTCACTGGGACTTCAGGCTTGCTGGGTAAGCCACACCGCCACCCCTTTAGTTCGTATTTCATTTTTGAGACAGGTTCTTGCTAACTTTGCCCAGGCTGACCTTGAACTCTCCATCCTCCTCTCTCAGCCTCCCGGGCACTGGGATTACAGGCATGTACCACCACGCCCAGCTTACACTTGTTTTTTTGTTCCACAGTAACCTTAGGACAAGGATCAGAAAACTCCAGAACACAATGATCTGTGGATTTTCTCCTTTTTTTTGGGTGGTACTGGGGCTTGAACTCAGGGCCTTCACCTTCAGCCACTCCACCAGCCCTGTTTTTGTGAAGGGTTTTCCGAGATAGGGTCTTGCAAACTTTTTTGCCTGGGCTGGCTTCAAACCTCGATCCTCCTTATCTCTGCCTCCTGAATAGCTAGGATTACAGCTAGGATCACTGGTGCTCAGTCTTTTTTTTTTTTTGGTGTCACTGGAGTTTGAACTCAGGGCCTCATGCTTGCTAGGCAGGTGCTCTATCACTTGAGCCGCTCCACTAGCCCTTCTGGGCACAATGAGGCAGGCTGCAGGACAACTGAGCAACTGACCTGAAGGATGGGAGTCACCAGGTAGCCTCTGGGTCAGGGAAGAAACCCAGCATCTCCTCTCTTGGCTACCTGGTAGAAGCAGTGAATTCCCCAAGACTTGAACCTACAATTCATTCATCTTTCTTCCAGCCCCAGCACAAGTGGTGGGTTGGTAAAAAGAAGAAAGGATCCAAGCCAGGCAGAAGGATCACAAGTTCAAGGCCAGACTGGCCCACACAACAAGACCCTGTCTCAAAAACAACCAAACAAAAAGTCAAGTGCATAGCAAGTGTGAAACGAACCTCTGGAAGCCCTTGGAGATATATCCCAGAGTCCAGTCAGTGTTTCTCATGCAGCTGAAACTAATAGACAACTGTGTGACCCGGCTACGGGAGAAAGCCGCCCTACATAGCACAATGGGACCAGCAGAGATAACAAGCCGGTTTCAAGTACAAAGCCATGGACCTGAGTGTATTTCAGCAAAAGCACTTTCTGTCCTGGGGTTTCAGACCTCCAGCTGGGAGCCCATGTGGAAGACACCAGTTTGTTCTTTATTTTCATTGGAACGTTACAGGGTTACTTATCAACAAAATAACTGTCCAGGGCAGAGGAACCAAGTGGCTTTTATGTACAGACCTGTCCCGGGGGGACCACCTGTCCAATGGCTGGCCCCTTCTTTCATCTGGAATCGAACTCCAACTTGCATGGTGCCAAAACCAGCCTGACCTTGGCACCCAAAAGGAGGTGGTGGCTGCTGGTGGCTTCGTCCCTGGCCAGTGAGTGTGGGGGGCCTCTCCCCTTGGAATGGTGTCCTTCTCCCACGCCCTTTCCCCAAGCCAGCTCCTGGGGCTACTCTGAGGGACTGATAGGTCCCTCTAGGGTCTTCTTTACTTTTGAGTTGTCCTTTGAACACAAAGTCATCCCAGCCTTCATCCCTGGAGGGTGGGTATTTGTGGTCTCCTCTTCTCTTGTCCCTGTTTTTGTGTGAAGATGACAATGCTTGGATGGGGACCCTTTTCATTTTTTGTCGCCTTTGCCCAAGAAACAAAAATCCATCAACAGGTACAGTTCTGTTGGTCAATCTGCTTCCGGCATGGCTCCATGGTAACAGCGACGCCCACCCCACTCCGGCCCGATGTCATGCGGGTCACCTCGCTCCAGGTGTCTGTGTCTGGGTCATAGCTCTCCACGCTGTCCAGGAACGTGTGACCATCGTAGCCTCCTGCAGGGAGGAAGAGGGGACATTCACTGCTCATGCCACCTCCAGGGACAGGAACAGAAAGAAGAAGCAACCAAGAGAAGCCTTCCTACCAAGATCAGCAGCTAAATTAGCCACCTGTCCCCAGAAATGGGGCCAGGCAGCGGTAGAGTGCTTGCTGAGCATGCGCAAGGCCCTGCGTTCCATCCTCAGCACCAAAAGTAAAAAACAGAGGTGGAGTCAGACTAGACTCTTCTTTCCCCACCCCTGGCCTCCTGATCCTCACCCAGGACATAGATCCTCCCCTGGTGAACGGTGATCCCCAGGGCACTGCGTCGATGCTTCATGGGAGCCACAAATGTCCACATTTCCGTCTCCACGTCATAGCGCTCCACACTGTTCAGCTGGTCCTGGCCATCGTAGCCCCCGGCCGCGTAGATACAGTTGTGCAGCACACAAACTCCTAAACGGCACAAGGCAGGGAGGGTCACTGGGGAGCCCCAGCCGCCGCCTTCTGTCGCTTTGGCTTCCCTCTCCCCTGGAACCACTGAGAAAGTTGGAGCTGGGCATCGTGGTGCATGCCTGTAATCCCAGCACTCAGGATGTAGGAGGGTGGAGAGTTCAAGATCAACCTGGGTTACACAAACAAACACAATAATAATACCAAAGCTGGGAGAGAGAGAGCGCGGCTTGGAAGATTCCAGCTGTTCTGCGTGTGCCACAGGGCTGAGGGCTGACATGGGGGCCTTGCCCAGGTGGGTTGGGGTGTCCCTGGATGCTCCCCTTCCCGCAGTGCCACTCGCCTGCCCCGCTGCGGATGGAGTTCATGGGCGTGATCATCCTCCACGCGTTCCTCTCTGGGTAGTAGCACTCCGCCGAGTTAAGGCGGTTCGTCCCGTCAAAGCCCCCAACAGCATAGAGCAAGCGGTTGAGAACGGCCACTCCCACACCGATCCTCCTCGTCAGCATCGGGGACACTAAGTGCCACTCATCCCGCTCCGGCTCATACCTAGAAAGGACAGAGTGACCATGGTGACACCAGAAACCCAGGTGAGTTTCTGGGCACACCTGTGATGGGCCCAACGCTCTGCTAGCTCTTCATACACCTGACCTCTTTAATCCTCACACCCATCCCCCAAAAGGCGGGAAGGGGCAGAAGCTCCACAGCCCAAGCAAGGACACTGACACTCACAGCCATCAGTTACTCAAGGAGACCCCCAAGTCTCTCACACCATGGCCTGGCCTCAGGCTGAGTGTAACCTGTAGGATTTCCCTACAGCCCCAACCAGCCTGGTGGACAGGTGGCCCCATTATTGTCCCTTACTTCATTGATGACAAGAGGCAGTTTCAGAAAGGTGACATAGCAACATTCAGGGTCACCAAGGAGCCAAGGGGCAGGCATCTGACTCCAGAACCCCAATTCTAACAACTAGGCTACCGCCCAGATGGTTTTCCTCCAAGGGCCATGGTCAGAGATGAGGTGGTCACGCGTCCCGATTGGCCGGGCACAGTCCATACCTGTGTTCCTGGAGTTATTAATACAGTCCCTGTCCTTCTTGCAAGAGGCCTGCTCAGGGTGACGCATCATCCCACCATCCTATTCATAGACCACACACATTAGAAGCCTCTGGAGCATTTGTTTAAAATTCCCATTTTCCAGTCTGGCTCCAAGCCCACCGACTTGAGATTTCTGCCATCTCTTCAGCTGAGAAGCCTGCCTTTTTGCCTTTTTTTTTTTTTTTTTTAGATTTTTGGTGGCACTGGGGTTTGAACTCAGGGCTTCCTACTTGCTAGGCAGGTCACTTGAGCCATGAACCTGGCCCTTTTTGCTTTTCTAGTTAACTTTCCAGATAGGATCCCCCACTTTTGCCCAGCCAGCCTTGGATAGTGATTCTCCTACCTCTACTTCCCTAGAAGCTGGAATTACAGGCATGCACCACCATTCCAGGCTGCCTTTTTTTTGTTTCATTTTATGGTGCTGGGGATGGACCCCAGAGCCTCAAGCATGCTAGGCAAGCCCTCTGCCACTGAGCTACACCCAGTCCACCAGTTATGCTTTAACATAATTAGCAAAATGCAACATAATTGAACATAATTAGCCTATTACAACAATTCAATAGACCTTCATCCCAAGGTGCACAAAGGGGCAATATGGGTTTGTGACAGACTCATCAGCAGTCCCCAGGCCCCACACATGGTTCAAGGTTGGGACTGTAAACCTCCCACCTGGAGGCTTCCACATCCTGAAGGGTGCGCCCCATCAGGGATAACCCCCACACCCTTGGTCCAGTGGGACCCTGGAGCCCCCCTGCCCCCCACACCCCTTGCAGGCTTGCCCCGTACCTCTCCACACTGTTGTGGTGGATGCAGCCGTGGGAGCCTCCGACTGCATAGATATGCCCGTCAATGACCCCGACTCCGATGCGGTTTCGAGGGACGCTCATGGGGGCACAGGGCGACCACTGATTGGTCATGGGGTTGTAGCAGTCCAGGGCGCTGGAGTCGGTGTTGCCATCGGGGGAGTTGTTCCGGCCACCCACGGCGTACAGCAGGCCGCCCACCACGCAGCCCGCCAGGCCACTGCGGGGCACCTGCAGGTCGGCCAGCCGCAGCCAGGTACCGTTGCTGGGGTTGTAGGCCTCCAGGTAGCTGAGCGACTGCCGGAAGTAGCCGCCGGCCGTGTAGATGAGGCGGCCCACCTTGGGCGCCCGGCAGGGCATCACCTGCGTGGGCTTGTGCAGGGTGAGCTCCTGGAAGATCTTCACCAGGTAATCCTTGCAGCGCGAGTCGGACTGCAGGATCTCGCACTTCTGCAGCTGCATCTGCAGGAAGTGCGGCGTGAGCGAGTGGCAGCGCACGGCGCGCAGCAGCGCCTGCACGTAGAAGCGCCGGTGCTCGCAGTCGTACTTGACCCAGTTGATGCACGCGTGGAACACCTCCGACTCGCAGCGCACGTTCAGGTCGTCGCGGCTGATGAGGGTCGCGAGCTGGCAGTGGGACAGGTTGAAGAACTCCTCTTGCTTGGCCACCTGCAGAGGGCGCTAGTGTGACAGGCTGATTCGCGGCCGGCTCTTCCCCGGGGGGGACCCTCACCAAGCACTCAGCTGGGTGAACTTGACCAAGTTACTCCATGACCTTGGACAAGTTACTCAACAGGGCTGCAGGGTCTCAGTGGCCTCATCTGCAAAATGGGTTTCAAACGGTACGAACCTCACAATGGTGAGGAGGAAACGAGTTAGTACTAAGTACCTACTCAAGGAAACGGGCAAAGGCAGTACTCTTCTTCACGGTGCTGGGACTCGAACCCCACTAAGGTGCTCTACCAGTAAGCTACTACACCTCCAGCTGCAAAGATGAACTTTTTTTTAACATGTTGCTCAGTCTGGCCTCAGACTCCCATCCCCCTGCTTCAGCCTCCCCAGGGCCGGGATTAAAGAAGTGATGCTAGGCAAACACTCTACCACTGGGCTACACCCCCAGCCCTATGGACCTGCTTTCAACCATTGAAATGACTAACAAATTCCAAGTGTTACATGCCTGCACCTTACTCAGGCAAATGGGTAGAACACAACATACTGTGTACTTTTTTTGTATCATTCTCGAACTCTAATAACATGTTACCTTTATTTTTTCTTTCCTCTTATTTTTTTTGCCGTTGAGGTGCTGAGGTGGAACCCAGCCCTTAGTGCATGCTAGCCAAGTTCAAGTGCTCTACCACTGAGCAACACCCCAACACCCCAAATAAAAATATATCAGTTTGAGCATCCTTACCCGAAATGCTTGGGACTGGAAGTGTTTATCAGAACCTGTCTATATAAATAACTACTTTTTTTTTTGTTTTTGGTGGTGGTACTGGGATTTGAACTCAAAACCTTGGACTTGCTAGGCTACCACTTGACCCATGTCCCAGCCCTTTTTGCTTTAGTTGTTTTTCAGGTAGGATCTTGCTTTTTTTGCCTGGACTGGTCTCAGACCACAATTCCTCCTATCTACACCTCCCTTGTACCTGGGATTATAGACACACGCCCCCATTCCTGGTTTATATGTGAGATGCTGTCTTGCTAACTTTTTGCCCAAGCTGGCTTTTATTCACAATCCTCCTGATCTCCACTTTCTGAATAGCCAGGATTATAGACGTGATCCACCTTGCCCAGACTAAAAATTGCAATCTTTCCTGCAATATCAAGAAAGGCCACGCTGCCTGGAAGCTACAGGAGCCTAGGACTAATGCCACAGCTCCTTAGAGCATATGGTCAACCCATGGGAGGGGCAGAGAACATCCATTCAGCCCTGAAGGAGAGAAATAGTGACCAGGGTCGCTTCCACCCCAGCTGGCCCCAGACACCAGAGGAAGAACTTACAAAATTCACAGGAAGCACCCCAAAGCCCAGGGTTCCCGAAGGCTTGGGGCCTCGAAGGTTCTTTCTTCCTCACAGGACAGCTGTGATGGGTCAACAATTTAGATGTGTGAATCACTTAGGAAAGAGGCAGCCCCCACAAATAAGTACTCAATCAACACTTCCTGGGCTGGGGAAGAGGTTCAGGATAGAGCTCTTGTCTAGTGTCTAGCACCCACGAGGCCCTGGTTATAAATAAATTTTAAAACTAACCTTTTTTTTTTTTTGCAGTGCTGGGGATGGAACCCAGTGCCTCATGCATGGTAGGCAAGCGCTCTGCCACAGAGCCACCCCCATGCAAATAAACACTTCTGATAGTTAGAGCAGCCTTCGTCCAAAATTGCAGGACTAGCTTTTGGGTTCTCTTTTTTGAGACTTTTGAATATTTGTATATATCTGATGAGAAATTTGGATAATGGTCCCAAGTCTAAACACAGAATTCATTAGTGACGTTTCATACGAAAGTTATACACACAGCCTGGAGGTAATTTTAGACACTATTTTTAGTGCACCTGTGTCTAACTGTGACTCAGGACAGGAAGTCAGGTGTGGAATTTTCCACTAGTGGCATTCTGTTGCTGCTCAAAGCCTGGGGCACTTCAGACTTTGCTTCTTCAGATGGGTGACACTCCATGTGTGCTGTCATCTCTTGGGTGCAGCCTCTATTTGTTGCCCCTCCCCCTCCAATTTAGCACTCATTTTTGTTACTTTTTTTTTTTTTGATGGGACTGGGGTTTGAACTCAGGGCTTCACACTTGCCAAGCAGGCACTCTACCACTTGAGCCACATCTCCAGTCCATTTTGCTCTGGCTATTTTGGAGATGGAGGTCTTGGGAACTATTTGCCTGGGCTGTTCTCGAACTTCGATCCTCCAGATCTCAGCCTCCCAAGTAGCTAGGATTACAGGTGTGAGCCACTGGCGCCCGGGTTATTGTAGCTTCTTAAAAGAACTCTCTTGTTACTTTCCCTTGACAACTTCCTGCACTGAGAAATGAAAACGAAAGCAAAAAAAGTAAAGACATTTCATGAACCCAAAAAAAACACGAGTTGTGGTTTGCAGCCTGTCATTGGTGTTCAATAAATATTTGCTTGCTCCATGTACCTTTGGTTGCCAGCATGGTCACACACCGTGTCCCCACTTCTGAAATTTTGTTTTGAGACAGGATCTTGCAACATAGCCCAGGCTGGGCCTCAAACTCACACTCCTTCTGCCCAGCCTCCCGAGTGCTGGGATTATAGACTTGCACTACCACACCCAGCTGTCCTCAACTTTGACCCCAGAGAAACTGGGAGCTCAGAAACTACAAAGCTGTTAACCAGGGTCTCCCCAGATGTGTGGCCCAGGAGCCAGAACCACACTTCTGTCCACTTCTCAGCCTTCAATGACCCTTCACATACATTCATGGATGGGTGATGACTGCCCATGCATCCCTCATCTTTCTGGCCACCTCCCCCAGCCCCGCTTCCTGCTCACCTCCCCAAAGTGCATGTAGATGTACTCCCGGGCGCGCTGGTGCAGCTCGGTGCAGCCAATCTGCTCAGCAAAGTTGGCGATGCCGATGGCGTTGCTGGGGTCCAGCTGCTGCACCAGGAAGTCGCTGCAGGCGCGGACCACGCTGTCAATCTGATACATGACGGCGCCATTCATGACATGGAGCACACACTTCTCGCCCATGGAGATGGAGGCAGTGTAGGCGAACTCGATGAGTCGCTCCATGACCCGGGGGTGGATGCCCTCAATGGACACGACCTCCATGCCCTGCTCTCGCAGCCCGTTGGTGAACATGGCCTTGAAGACAGGGCTGGAGGATGCCAGCACCACCTTGTGGGCCATGAACTGGGCGGCTGGGATGTCCTCGTACTTGACCTGGAGGGTCACGTCGCATAGCTGCTGGCTGAGCCGGAGTTCGTTCATGATACCGAAGGCCTGTTTGGTGTGGTCCTCCAGTGTGTAGCTGAAGGTGCGGTTGCCATCCTGGGAGGGGGTCACCTCCGCCTTGCACTCAGTAGAGGCATACATCACTGCGTCCCCTGCCCCCTCAGGGCACTGTGAGCACAGGAATCGGCTGAGGGCTCCAGCCCCGCTAGGCTTGGGTTCTGGCTGCATGGGGTTCCAAGTGACAGGGCACAATGCCACCACTGGTACTCAAGGGCCTGGAGGAGGGAAAGAACAAGGGCTGGGGCAGGGCCTGGGGCTGGCCCAGGACCTGCCAGGCCTCCTTTTATACGATAAACCAGTCATGATTACTAGTTCAACTTTCCCAGCCAACTGAGTAAGAGTGAAAACCCAGCTCCTCAACAACCTGCAAAACACCAAGCAGTCAGCCCTGCCCACTCTTCACTTCCTTAAGCATGTCAAACTCATTCCTTTATTCGCCTCACCAACATTTATGGGGCGCCAGACACTGTTCTGAGTCCTGAGAACATAGTAACCAGCAAGACAGACAAAACCCTGGAGTTTCATTAGGGCAGCAAAAACCATCAGTGTCTAAGGCTGGGGACATAGCTCAAGTGAGGGGTCCTGAGTTCAAACCCCAGTAATGCAAAAAAAAAAAAAAAAAAGAAAGAAAGAAATCAGAGTCAAGAAGAAAATGACAACTGCACTGTGACCATGACTTGGCTACTTTGTCACTTGGAGGCAGTTACTTTAAACCAGGTAGTACAGGCCTCTCTGAAACAAAGGTGAACATAAAGAGGAGAGGGTAGTTTCCCAGGTAGAGGAAACAGCAAGTGTAAAGGTCCAGGGGCAGCCTGGAGAATCAAGGAGCACAGTGAGCAATACCAAGATTCAGGGAGACCCTCAGAGACTGGAGCCAGGTTGTTTTGATAGGAGGTTGGAGAGGTGAAGGACCTGCAGGGGGCTCCCCAGTTTCAACTCTTTCTGGGGCTCACCCAGAGTCACCTCAGTTTTATTTCCATCACAACACGTCTTGGGCCCTGAAATGCTGTCCTTCGCTGGTTTGTGGCGGGATAGGCGGTCCCTCTCGCCCAGCCCCAGAGTCCTCTGGGGAGCACCATGCAGATCAAAGTTGCCCCCGCCCCCCACCTGTGCGCGCACCGGGCCTGGCCCGGCACTGCGCAGGAGGCTGTAAACGGGAGGCTGGCCGGCTGCCCGCTCCACTGGGCCTGCAAAGCACCCTCCTTCACCCGGCCCAGGGCGCCGCTGTCCCCTCTCCTCCCGCGCCGAGGCCCCAGGCTGGCCTCTCGGTCTTTGGCCAATCGGTCAACGGTGCCCCCTGAGCGCTGGGCACTTCCCCCCACCAAGCGACAAGTGGGGGACTGCGCATGCCCCGCAGGAGCCGCGCCACCAAGGCCCGCAGCCCGGAGGCAGCGACCCCAGACCCACTCTGGGCTGCCAGCCCGAGAGCGCAGCCCCGGCCCCCCTACCCCAGAGTCCCGGGGCCTCCGCGGGATCCGCGCTCCGGGGCCTCTCGCCCAATCCCCGTGGCCCCCGGGCGGGTCGCGCCGTCCAACAAAAAAGATCGGACCCGGGCCGCGCCCTCCTGCGCCAGCGTGGGGCCAAAGGGACCTCGGGAGGACGCCGGGGCACACGGCGTCCGGTTCCCCCGTCCCCGAGGCGCGATCGGTGAGGCCCATGGTGGCCGCAGCCGGAGCCCAAACCGCTTCACTCACCCCGCCATGGCCGCGCTCGGGCTCCGCCTCCGCCGCCCGGACCCGGGCGCCTCCATCGCTGCGCGCGGGGGGAGGCGCGGAGCGCGCGCAGGTCACCATGACTAAGCAGAGTCGGGCGCCGGCCGTGTCACAATAAGAGTCCCCGCGGTTCCTGGCTTTGAGAGTGGGGCTGCTCCCCACCCCCACCCCTCGCCTCCCACGCCCGCTGTCGCCACGCTGCGCGGCGACCACAGCGTCCCGCCATCGCGGCGCAGCGCGGCGGGGCGGGGGATCCGGGCTGTCCGCGTAGCCACCCGTGTGCCCGGAGCGGCCGGGAATCAGAGCTGGGGTTCGAGGCCCCCGTGCGCCCCCAGCCGCCCCGGAGAGCTGGCGGGCACCCCACTCTGTCGTCGCTGTCCGCTCGCTCACCTCGGCCCCCGTGTCGCCTCCGGAGGTGTCCAGCAGGGTGGGGATGCCCGGGGCACGGCGTTGGCCCAGGGCGCAGTGGTGCCACCCACGCACCGCGCTTCCCGGAAGCCCGAAGGGGCCGCGGTCTGATGGGTTTAACCTTCGCTTGTCGGGGACCCGATGGCGCCACCGCCGTCGGGGGTGTTGTGGATGCGAACAGCGTGGCCCGCGGGGTCGCGGCCGTCGGGTGGGGGGCGGCCTCGGGACGCGCGGGAAGGAGGCGGGGAGAGGGCGGGAAGGGCGCGGCGGGGAAGGAGCTGCGATTCCCCGCCCTTCCCGCAGGTGCCCATCCAGCCGTCGGGGAGGAGTGGGCGGTCAGGCCAGGCTGGCCAGGATCGTGTCCCCTCGCGCTGTCCCTGCCATCCGTCCAGTTTCCTCGCATTGCTTCCGCAGGACCTGCCCTTTAACCCCGCACCGCGCAGGCCTCGCTGTCCAGCTGGAATTCTCTCCTTTGTTAAGTTTTTGTCATCTTGATTATTATTTTTTATTTATGTATTTTTAGTTACCCTAATCAGGAGCTATGTGGAGCTCATCTGGCGAGTATTGGGGTGTGGAACCCCGGATCTACCCATCCATAGCTCAGTGCCTCCCACGGTTGACATTTTTTATAGCAAGGGATACTGATTGGCCATATATAGGGTTTATGATAGAAAGTTCGTTTTTAAAAATTTTGGGGCAATACTGAGGTTTGAACTCAGGCCTCATGCTTGTTACTAGACTGAACCGTGCTCCAAACCCTTTTTGCTTTCAGGATTTTTGTTTGTTTGTTTAGATAGAGTCTCAAGCTTCTGTCTGAGCCTGGCCTGGGACTGTGCTCCTCCTATCTCTGCCTTCCTTGGCTGGGATTACAGAGACAAGTCACCGTGCCCTGCCGTTAATGTTATTTTTTATTATTATTTGCTGTCCTGATATCCAACCAGGGCCTCTCGCATGCTAGACAAGTGCTCTACCGTTGAGCCACACATCTAGTCCATTTTTCTGTGGTTGTTTTGGAGATGGGGGTCTCTCCTGAGCTATTTGCCCAAACTGGCCTCTAACCATAATCCTCCCAGGTATCTAGAATTAGACTGCCACCGGCACCTGGCAGTTAATTTTTAAATACGTGTATGTATGTTTATTTTAGAGTCCGTCTGAATTAAAAGTAAGTGAATCATGCCAGGTGGAAGAGACTTTGGTCTAAGAAAACGTCCCCGAAAGTTCAGGGTGAATTCGGCTCGGCCAGTGGGGTTGTAGGAGGTGCAGTTCTAGACACCTCCAGAGGCGGCGCTCTAGCAAGTTAGCAAGTGCGTTGAATGGCAGGGCCTGGAAGAAGAATGCTCACCAAGACAACTTGTGCCTCTCAGAGTCCAGGCCCTGTAAGCCAGCGCCAGAAACTTACCAAAGGTACACTCGCATGCATGCAGGGGATTATGTATACATCTACTACAGAATAATACATGCAATTGCCAAAGGATAGGGCTCAGCCCCCTTGCCCCTCCACAGGACCCTGGCCTGTAATAGATAGTGGCACATCCACGCTGTGAAATACTATAACACTATACAGCCAGTTAAAAGAAGAAAACTGGCAAAAAAAGAAAGGAGGACGAGAGAGAAAGAGAGGAAGTAAGGAAGGAAGAAAAGAAAGAAAGAAGGAAGGAAGGAAGGCAGAAAGAAGAAGAAAGAAAGAGAGAGATGTAGCTCAGTGGTAGAGCACATACTGAAAGCCCTGGTTTCCATCCCCAGCAATGGGGGAAGGCAGGAGATCAAGACACTTACTGTGTTTATGTATCTCCTTATTTATTTATTTATTTAGAGACACTCTCACTATTTAGTCCAGGCTGACCTCAAATTCCATATCTTCCTGCCTCAGCCTCCTGAGTGCTGCTAGGATTACAGGTGTGTATGACCATACTCTGATCCATGTCCGTTTTAAAAAATGTAAAAAAAAAAATTGTAAAACAGTCTAAACACAGTGGTTCACACTTGTAATTCCAGCTACTTCAGAAGTGGAGACTGAAAAGGATGGCAGTTCCAGGCCAGCCTAGGCAAAAAGTTCATGAAATCCCATCTCAACCAATAACGTCATATAACCATAGCTGTCATCCTTGGCTATGCAGGGAAGCACAAATAGCCTCTTGGTATAGACCAGGTGGGAATCAAGCAAGACCCTATCTCAAAAACAACTATAGCAAAAAAGGCTAGCAGCATGACTCAAGTGGTAGAGCACACGAGTAGCCAGTGCAAGGCTCAGAGTCCAAACCCTAATACTGCCCCCCCAAAAAAAGGGAAAAGAACAATCCTATGGACTGAATTGCACACTCTCCTCCTCATTCCATTCATATGTTGACCTCTAACCCCAGTGACATGGTATTTGGAGATAGGGCTTTTGGGAGGTGATCAGATTTAGAGGAGGCCATGAGGATGGGACCCCCATGATGGAATTAGTGACCCCGCCTTTTTTTGTGGTACTGGGCTTGAACTCAGGGCCTACACCTTGAGCCACTCCACCAACCCTTTTTTCTGATGGGGTTTTTCGAAATAGGGGAACGTGAATTGTTTGCCCGGGCTGGCCTTGAACCTAGATCCTCCTGATCTCAGCCTCCCAAGTAGCTAGGATTACAAGCCTGAGCCGCCAGTGCCTGGCCTTTTTGTTTTGGCTTTTTTTTTTTTTTTTTTTTTTTTTTTGAGACAGGGTGTCACTATGTATCCCAAGGCTGACCTGGAACTTTTTATGGAGCCCAGAGTGGCCCCAAACTTGTGATCCTCCTGCCTCTCAGATCATGCCTGACACTAGTTCTCTTCTAAGAAGAGATCTTTATAGAATTCTTGCTCTCTCTGCCACAGGAAGACACGTTGGCTAATAAAGAGAGCCCCCACCAGAACCCCAACCATGCTGGCACTCTGAACTTGGACTTCCCAGATTCCAGAACTGTGAGAAGTAAATGTCTGTTGCCTCAGCCGCCCAGCTCTGTGTGCTATAAGCCAGCAACACAAATGTTACATATGTGTTCCTGTGGTACATTCGGATGCACCTGGAATCCCAGCACTTGGGAGGCTGAGCTGGGAGAATCACTTGAACCCAGGACTTCAAGAGCAATCTGAGTAATGTAGTGTGATCCCTGCCTCTGAATTAATCAAGTAATGAAAAGGTGTGGGTGTGCTACAGTTCCCAAGTATCTATTTAGTTAACAAAGCAAGGGGCTGGTGGATTGGCTCAAGTGGTAAAGTACCTGCCTAGCAAGCATGAGGCTCTGAGTTCAAACCCCAGTACCACCAAAAAAAAAAAAAAAAAAAGTTGATACAAGACAGGGGACTAGATTTGTGTTTAAAAAAAAAAGGCATTTAGGGCTGGCAGAGTGGCTGAAGCGGTATAATTCTAGCTACTCGGGAGGCAGAGATCAGAAGGATCACCGTTCGAAGCCAGCCCCAGAAAATACTTTTCCAGACCATATCTCAAAAAACCCACCACAAAAAAAGGGCTTGTGGAGTGGCTCAAGGTGAGGGCCCTGAGTTCAAACTCCAGTACCGCAAAATAAATACACTTAAAAAAAAAAAAAAGATGTATTTACATTTTAGTTCATTTTTCCACATAATAGTTCTGGAAGTTCCCTGGGAGTTCCAACAGCAATAGTGACCTCCACGAGGAACTGGGTACTTTTTGAATTTAGTAAAATTAAAAAAAAATTAAAAATATATGTCCTCTACCACCATTCTAAACAACCCAACCAGAGGTTGGGGTGTACCAAGAGGTCTCGCTTCCTCTGCAAAATTTAGAGAAATTTTAGGGTTGGAGTTCTGGAAGTGAGCCAGTACCGCTCCCAGCCTTGGGTGTACTTCTGTTCAGGGGAACTAGGGTGGCTTTCCATGCCTGTGGCCTGCAGGGGCGGCCTAAGCTTGGCCCCCCAAGTCTTCGCGGCTGCCTGCAGTTCCAAGGTCTTCCGGTAGGTGGCGCGCCGCCATCTCAACCCAAAGCCAGACATCCCCCTCCCGCCCCTCCGCCCCCAGCCAGCCAGGCAACCTTGGGGTCAGGAATGCGCCTGGGGACAAGCAGGGGCTGAGGACAGCACGCCTGGATCCTTTTATGGGCACAAACAGGGGCTCTGGTATCGCCCCTAGGCAAGAATGCAGACCCCTGCGGGAGGGTTGGCCTGACCTCTCCAGAGCAGCCAGTGCCAGGTCAGACACTGGTTGTCCTGCCTGGGGGCCTCGAAGCTTTGGCCAGTCTGTATCCTGGTCAGGACACTGGGGCAGGGTACACACTGTTTGAAGTGTCTTCCTCTGTCAAAAAGGAATGAGACAAAAAAAGTCCGGTGGGAGTGGGACACCCAGTTTACAAGGTTACAGTAAGGTGAAAAACATAGTGACTTCCGGGTTTAGCACATGGAGGGGCCTAGCCAAGCATAAACTGTAATCGCTCTTATTGTTTTATTTTATTTGTAATTTTATGAAGGATCTCAATCACACTCAAAGAAATGTCAGAATTTGGCTGTCTCCCAAAATCAAGTTTGGGGAGCCCTGCCTTGGCATTTTCTTTTGTTTTGTTTTGTAATTCTGACACTGGAGTTTGAACTCAGAGCATCACGCTAGCTAGGCAGGTGCTCTCACTGCTTGAGTCACTCTGCCAGCCAGTGACATTGTTCTTGAGGAGTCTCTTCTCCAGTCTTACAGGCAGTTACTTAGTCATTCCACCACCCCCCCCAAAATCTGTCTAAAATCCACCTGACCTAAGCATAGTGGCCTCTCCCCATCTTCTTGACTCCCACGATGGCCTCCACAATGGCCACAGGGCGCCTATGAGCACCTGAATCAGGTCAGTCCCTTCTTTGAATAAGAACCCTCCGACCTCATCTAGAACAAAAGCCAGTGCCTTTCCGGGACCCACAAGGCCTTTTGAAATCTGTGCCTTCATTCCGGTCTCCTGGTCCTTGTCTCCCATTCTGTTCCTCTATTGCTGCTTCAGGCACAGGGGCACAGGGACATGTTCCAAGCCTTTGCACTTGCTGCTTCCTCATCCTGAAATGCTCTTCCTTCAAGTTTTGTCATGTCAACAACATCTCAGCTCCTATCACATGTCACCAACTCTACACCATCCTGTCACTATATCGTCAATGAAATTATCTCCATTATTATGTCTATGTCCCCCACCAGGTCACCTCCACGAAAACGGAGATGTTTGTGTTCGCTATTGTGGGTTTAGCGCCAATAAATACATTTCCCTTATGTCTTTTCTGCCTCCACCACTTTGGGTTGTGTTTCCTACAAATTCCATATTAAAGAAAAAAAGTCAGCGAAACAGCTCTTGGGGAGGGCAGTGGCAGGGACAGAGCGTCAGTCTGCCACGGGCTCGGGGACCAGGGTCCGGGCGGCCGTGGGTGCGCCGGGGCTGCCGGTAGAACAGCTGGTGTCCAGCCCGTCCCGCTGGGGCGACGAGCGTTCGGAGCGGCTAGAGCTGCCATCGAGGCCCGGGGGTAGGCAGTGTCGCAGGCCACCTGACACCCCAGCGGCGCTCCCTGATCGCTGGGAACTGGCAGAGCCTCGGCTGCAGGGACGGCGACCGCAGCAGAGGAGTCGCAGGAGCGCATGGCGCAGGTCGTGGTTGGTGAGCGTGTAGATGATGGGGTTCAGAAGCGAATTGGCCATGGCCAGGCCCAGGAAGGGATCGGCCTGCAGGAGCACGGGACAAGCGCGAGCTGGGCACGCCACGTCGAGCAACAGCAGCAGAAAGAGAGGTCCCCAACAGGCGACGAAGGCCAGGAGCACCACGCTGAGCGTGCGCAGCAGTGCCAGCGAGCGCGGCGTGCGGCGCGCACGAGTCGAGGTGCCCCTGGCAGCCCCGGGTCGCGCCCGCAGACGACGCGCGTTGGCGCGCACCTGGCAGTAGATACGCGCATAGAGCGCACAGATGGCCGCCAGGATGCCCACAAAGGCGAGCACGCAGAAGAGCACGTAAGCCTTGGCGTAGAGCGGCAGGACGGTGGAGCAGGCTTCCAGGCGACCCAGACAGTTCCAGCCGAGCGCCGGCAGTAGCCCGAGAAGCAGCGACACGCTCCACGCAGCGACCGCCAGAGCCAGCGTGCGCCCCCGACTGGCAGCGGGCGCGGGTCCCCGGCGCGCCATGGTGAGGTGGCGTTCGAGCGCAATGGCCAGGAGGCTCAGCACCGATGCGGCCAGCGCCACGAAGACGCCTCCCTCACGTGCGAACCAGAGCGCAGGTGACAATCGCAGCGTGAGTGGCCCGGAGAGCAGGATATTGGTGGCGTAGGCGGCTCCCGCCAGTAGGTCGGACAGCGTGAGACTGCCCAAGAGCAGGAACATGGGCGCGTGGAAGCGCGGATGGCGCCCGAGCACCAACAATACCGCCAAGTTCTCCAGCACGATGAACGCGCACACGGCCAGGCACACCACCGCGTCGGCGCGCAGTCCCGCGCCGGGCTGGTAGCGCGCCCCGCGGAGCTTGCCCGTGTAGTTGTAATGTAGGACGATGACATCGCTCACCGGCGCCGGCCGCAGCAGCCCCGGCTCCATGGGCTGCCAGCCCCAAGGCTGCAGAGAGAACCGTGGCAGCGTCAGACTAGCTGTCCCCCAACCCTGGCCATTGTCCCAAGACCTACGGAGGTAGGAACAGTCAGAATCCAGGAACCCTGAGAAAGGGACCCTAAACCCTGCCCACTACCTTCCACACACACTCAGGTGGTCTCACGAAGGCTCAGAAAGAAAGGGAGTGTCCTTGGAAACAGATAATGACAGGAGGGAACAGGGTGACACACATTCCCATAAAAAAAAAAAAAGATGCACTAATAACACACTAGCATGGATATCTAGATGCATAGTCAAATGTAAACAGACAGGATTGCACAAAAACACGTCCACACACAGAGAAAGACACAAACACAGCGACACTGCGACAAGTGCCGATGCATCTATACTCACAATGTCAAAAACGCAGTCACACACCACCAAGCATAGGGAAACATCAAAACACGTTCATACAGGGACAGAGTGGCACAGGCACAGGGACAAAAATGCTGTCACACAAAGACAGGGTCTCACACCCAGTTTGTGCATAGACCACAATTTCACAACCTCCACCCACATCCAGCCTGGGGCCTAGATCCTCAGGCTGCACACGCCTTGTTACACACAAGGCTTTTTCCTGCTAAAAGCCCCGTGAGAAAGCTGATACTAGCCACCCGTTTTACAGAGGCAAAGCCCCAGGGCAGCAGACAGGATTCTTAGCACAGACGGACTGTTGCAGAGGGATACACACAAGTCATTAAATCATAATAACACTCCGGAGCTGCCACTAGGCTCTTTAATCCTCCTGTCAATCTCTCCCTTAGTCCCAATGTACAAGTGAGCAAATCAGGCTCCAAACAAATACTTCAGGACTGGGAATGGAGCTCAGTGGTAGAGCGCTTCCCTAGGGTGTTCAAGGCCCTGGGTTCCCTTTCAAGAAAGCAAAAGAAAACAAAAACCAGTATTTCATAGAAAGGTGCAGATGCCTGTAATCCTAGCTACTTGGGAAGCTGAGATCTGGAGGATCAGGGTTTGAGGCCAGCCTGGGCAAATAGTTGGTGAGAACCCCTCCCCCATCTCAACCAATAGTGGTGTGGGCCTGTCATCCTAGCCACAGGAGAAAGTGTAAATACAGGATCAAGATCTAAGATGGTCTGGGAAAAAAGCGAGATCCCCCCCATCTCCAAAATAACCAGAGCAAAAAGGGCTGGAGGCATGGCTCAAGGGCTACAGCACCTGTCTAGCAAGCACCAAACCCTGAGTTCAAATCCCAACAACAGCCAAGAAAAAAAATAAAGGAAAGAAATACTTGGCATACAAGCAGTTACTCAGGCTTCCACACAAACACAGCCACACAGAAATGGTTACACAGTCACAAGGGTCCCACTTCACAGATGAGAAAACTGAGGCCTGGGGAAGGACCTTTTCCTACACTGCAAGGGGCAAATGCATCCTACATGGCTTCAGTGTCACTCGGGGAGCCACTCGGGCTAGTTTGGGGGGGGAAGGGGGGCGGAGGGCGGAGGGAGAGAGGTACTGGGTCAGCCACAACGGGGGCGGGAATGGCACCATATACACAGAGACGGGGTTATGCACCATTTTCTGAAGGGAACACCGGCAGGGGCACCACCTCTGGACCTGGCCTGCCTGGCACAAGGACCTACAAATTGCAGTGGCCCAGCCCGAGAGGGAGAGGCCGGGGATTTCAGATGCCCGCGTTCCCGCCGGGGACCCTGCGTCTAGCCAGGGAGTTACCCGCTTCCCCTCCCCAGAGACTTCGGCAAAGGGATCGGGAACCCCCGGCAAGGAGCTCTGTGCCTTAGAGAAGGGAGAATGGCCGGGGGAGCCCCGCGCCCCCAAGGACCCAGTGCTGGACTCACCCTGCGCCCTGGTCGTGCGCTCTCCGGAGTCGCGCTGCTTGGTGCCCAGTGAGCGGCACCGGGGGCGGGGCTGGAGTTGGCAGGCGACAGGGCGGGCCGGCGACGCGGAGGGCCGGCGATCTCCAGCAGTTGCCCCCTCCCCTTGGGGTCTGGGCACTCAGCCCGTGGCTGCCAGTCCGTGCCACCCGCCGCGGCACCGGAGAGCGCCCCGGCGGCGACTGGCACCGGAGAACTTGCCCCTCCGGGTCTGGGCTGCTATCCCCGGGGGCGATTGGCCGTGGTGGGAGGACCCAGAGCCCCGGGAAAGGGAGGGCTCGTCAGCAGAGGTGGCCTCTGCCTGAGCCCCTCCCTCGCCAGTAGAGGGGTCCCGTGGGTCCTTCTGCACCCCTCCTGGGCTGCACCCCAAGTTTGCCTCGTGGGCAGAGGACCCTGGCAGCGCAGATAAACGGAGGTCTTCAGCAGGAGCGGCTGCTTGAACCCTTGAGCCCTGTCGGGGAGGGTAGATCCCCGCGGCTCCCCGGCATAGGCCCCTCCCCATTTCCCGCTCCCACTCCCTAGTGGGGGAGGGGAGGGCGCAGGCCGGATTCTGCTGGGAACGTCCCCCTTCCCTGATAAGGAGGACCTGGCTCGTCCTGCCCCCCTGCTTCCTCCATTTCCCCCATCCGATCTCTCCCACCCTCTTGATAGACTCATTTATTGTATTTCTGGGCCGTGTCCCCTCCAGATTGCTAGCCCCACAGTATGTCGTGGACCCTGAAGGGACAGGGACACAGCCTATAAGTATCAATGAGTGAATGAATGATCGAAGGTCTCTCCCACTTTCTCTGTGCGTCTCTTTCCTCGGGTCTCTCGGTCTCTGTTTCTCCCTGTTTTTGTGAGAGTCTCGCTCCGGTCGCTGTCAGTGTCCTCTCCCACGCCTCTCCCAGACCGCCGCTCCTCCAAAGGGCCAGTCCCAGCTGGCCCTGCACCCCCCTCCCCCCGCACACACACCCAATTCCCAAGAGCTTTCTGGCCGGGCCCAGGTTTTCCACCCTCAGACCGGAGGCCCCAGCCTGGAAGCGGGGCTGGGGCTGACTCCTGAGACCTCCCCTGGGACCCCTGTCGCTCCAGGTCCCCTAGCCTCAGGTGGGGTGAGAGTGCCCCAAGAACAGTGAGACAGAGACTGGGCATGGGAGTGATGGCTCGAGGGATGTCCCCGTGGGAGGAATCACAAGGGCGCCCCCATAGAATTCCTTGGGGATTCTCGCAGGTTGCGCCCCCATCTAGCCCCTTGGGTATCCGGGTGGCTCCCGCCCCCGCCCCGCTGTTCCCCATAGGCGGATCGCTCTCGCCTGCCCGGACCAATCGAAGACAGCGCGGGGCAACACAGCCAATGAGATTCCTGGGGGAAATTGGAACGAACCCCTGAATCGAACCAACGGATCCGCCTGACACCCAGCAGGCGCCCTATATATGACCTCCTTCTGCAAAGGGGAAGCAGCACCCCAGGGTGGAAAGGTGGCCGATTCACACCTCCCAGGCGACAATTGCACCTCCCTCGAGCCCTGCTGAGCACAACGAGGCTCTTCCGGCTGCGGGTCCGACTCAGCACCCTCCACTCCTGCCGCCTCCCTGCAATCTGTGCTTTCCCACAGACTGGGACCCTAGCGACCCATTGCACATTTCATGCAGGACATCATCTGGAATATGGGACAAATGTCAGGAGTCCCCTGAAGGTTAGGAGTCCCTAGCCTCCACTCTACATCTGTGGCCAGAGTTCTGAACATTCAGATTAGTTCTTCCCCTGCTCCAGAACCTCCCAGGGCTCCCTATTGTCCTACAGGGTGAACTGCTCGCTCCTCCCCCGACCAGCCCACTATGCTCTGCTGTGTCTCTTCCACTACCCACTCCTCCACATTTCACCTCACTCAGCTCCAGCCCCACAGCCCTCCTTGTTTCTCAAACCTTTCAAATCCTTTGAACTTGATGCTGTCTACCTAGAACACCTTTCCCAAGTGGTCCCCTCTTCCTCAATCTCAAATTATCGTTGGCATATCTAATGTCACCTTCCTCATTTATTTTTGGACCCTGGAGTTTCAGCCCCAAGAAGTTAGGGACCCTGTCTTACCCTCTCCCCAGACTTGGCTGGGTCTGGAGCCACACTCAGCTACTTTGTGGTCTAGGGCTCTAGTCTGACAAGCTCCCCTCTGACAGCGCTACTCCCAGACCTTCTGAAATCAAAGGAATTGGAAAAGACACGGGGATACAGTGAGAGGTCTATAAATGTTCGTGCAGAGCTTTGTTGGTCAGCACTGTTTCCCCATTGAGGAATGGAGAAGTCTCCCGGCTCAGACCCCAACAGCCTGGGGTATCACCAGCACCACACCCCATTTCCACTCCCACCCACCAGGCCCAGCGAGGCTTCACCCCAGCCCACTCCCCCCCACTCCTGCCCTGCTGCAGCCCGCCTGAGGCTTGCCTGGGCCAGCGCACCTGCCTGGCCGGTTCTACAACCAGATCTCGAGCCCATAGGGGCTGCCCCGCCCAGTCTGCACCCACCCTGTGGCAGAGCTGGGTCTGTGCCACCAGTGAAACGCCTCCCATGCTGGCTCTCCTAAACCCCCATCCCACTCTGGGAGCCACAGAGCTGTGATTGCCAACCTCCCCTCTGCACTCCACCATCTGACACTTGAACTTGGTCTCAGCAAGGTATGACTCCCAACTAGAGGACCCCAGGCCAACTCTGGTGTGTGATAGGTTGTTTGTTTGTTTTTTTTTTTTTTTTTTTTATGAGATTGGGTCTCCCAAACTATTTGACCTGGCTGGCCTCAAACCATAATCCTCCTGAGTAGCTAGAACTACAGTTGTGAGCCACTGGCTCCCCAGCTTCCAACTCTGATTCTTACCTACAAGACAGAGCTTGTATGTTCATCTGAAGAAGGTTCCCCCAAACAGCTCTTAAACCTGGACAGAAACACTCTGCTTGTGCCAGTAAAAAACCACTTATTACTGGGACTTGAACTCAGGGTCTCGTGCTTGCTAGGCAGACGCTCTATTTTTGAGTCTTTCTGCCAGCCCTGCTTTATGTTGGGTATTTTCAAGATAGGGTCTCGGGAACTATTTGCCTGGGCTGGTGTCAAATCAAGATCC